GTGCAGATGATGGAACACATTCGCCAGCAGATTGCATCTTGGTTTAATGAACGCCAAGATATGGGAATGAGGTGGACATCGATGCTTGTACCATCTGCTGAGAAGCGGATTTTGGAAGCACTTGCTGATGCTCACTGCTATCAAGTGCTCCGAGCTAATGAAGTTGAGTTTGAGATTGTGTCTACAGAGAGGACGAATATTGTGGATATAAGAAGTCGAGTGTGTTCTTGTCGCGTTGGCAGCTGTATGGTTTACCTTGTGCACATGCTGCTGCAGCACTTATTTCTTGTGGGCACAATGCTCATCTTTTTGCCGAACCTTGCTTCACAGTAAAAAGTTACAGAGTGACCTATTCGCAGATGATAAATCCTATTCCGGACAAGAGTCAATGGAGAGAACTTGGGGAAGGAGCAGAAGGTGGAGGTGCCAAGGTGGACATCATAATACGACCACCAAAAACTCGTAGACCACCTGGGAGGCCTAAAAAGAAGGTCCTTAGGGTGGAGAACTTCAAACGTCCCAAGAGTTGTTCAGTGTGGTCGTTGCCATATGTTAGGACATTCTCAAAAGAATGCATGATGCCCTTTGACAACATTTACTTGTTTTTCCCCAACTTTACCTCTTCATTTTGTTGTTTTAGGTATTCAGATTTCTGAAGGCCAAATAGAATGAATCTAGTGTTTCGTTGTAATTTATATGTATGCCTTAAGCCACTATTCAGGGTAGCTTCGTGGCATTTCTATGTATGGATAGGGAATGATAGTGTTGCTCTGGACAGAATTATTTGTATAAAGCTGCAGCAAACATTTTTATTGTAATGTTCTTCTAAAGATGAATCTTCGAGATTGACTCATTTTTCTTCAATGATCAGTAGACGTCACTCATTGGGTGCCGTAAACGATATACCTTTACTCTAAGCCGCCCAAAGAGGAATAATCTCCGGCATCATCTATAATATTGTAGTCTTTTATTTGAAAATTATAATCTTGAATAGTGCCAAAAGCGATTTGCCTTTAAAACTCCACATAACTCGGGCATTTTTGAGGGAAGGAAAAAATCATCCAAAGCAATAAAGAGTCTTCCATACAGTTCTTGCTGAACGAAATTTTTCCAAAAGGAAAACCGAACAAATTATGAAGTGTGATGAGCTGAGACGATCATCATTTGACATTGACAGCCTTCAATGATTCCCTGGAAAGTTGCACCGTTAGATGAGGGCTTCTGTGCACAAGACTTCATCTTGAGGACAAAACTATCTCCTGAATGTTTTCAACTGAGAACTTCATAGCAGTGTCCTTCAACTTCTGGTTGGAACAGGTGTCTGCAATCTCCAATACATCAGGACATTAGAGATGCTTAGCGAATTCAGCATATGCTGCTCGCATGGGTTCTGTAAATAAGCAATCCCATATTATCAGCTGCCAATGACAAAGCAAATACATGCTTCCCCATTTTCTCTGGACCCAAGTTCCCTCTGTAGAGAAACTCCAGAAGACTCTCTAGCTTTGCATTCGCTTTGCATTCATCTGAGTCTAAAATGTTCTTGAAGACCTCTGACCTTGTCGCCTGTAACATCATCAAGTGCAAAATATAATTACCCACCACCAATTCATGAACCTAAACATATGTGTGTGTCTGCATGTATGTACTCACCAGAACTGCTTTATGGGAAGGTATTGGAGGGCCATGGTTGCCAGGAGTGACAGTTATATCAGTGTGGGTTTGTGATCTAAATGCATCAACAAAGCTTTCAAGGAAGGCTAATTGATGTTTATGTTCATTCATCTGATCCAACTGCTGCGTATACCATCTTTTAAATGTCGAAAGTGACTGCGCACCACAAATAATAATCTCATTCTGACTTAGCAATTGATTTAAATCATTGCAGAAATTATGACAGTATTCGATTATAACAAGGTTTGTGGAAACCTCATCATGATGTAAAATTGAACAACTGAAAGCGATGGACTTAGTTGTAAGCAAAATATAAGGCGTGAAGAAAAGAGCTTGCCTTACTCGAATTATGGGAGGGTGAAGCTGGAGAGGCGTTAGGATTATCCATTGTTTCATCAGATTCAAGCTTGTTCATCATATTAAGAATGCTCCTGGCTCCTTCATAGCAGGCCCCACATATGGTATTCCTGGGTGGCCTTAATGTCAATGGCATTGTTGTGCATACACAGCAATCCATCTCTGATCACTTTTCTTCTTCTCCTGCTTCTTCTTTCCTTGCTGTTTCTTAAAACCTGAAGAAATGGAAGTTCTAGTTCTGAATCTGCAAACACAATATATATAATATTTATTTCCAATATTGTTTCTGTTAGGAACTTGTGATTTCCCAACTCATTATCCTTTTACACGGACACAATCATGATTATCCTGTATGCATCGTCTGAATATTTTAGTTTGGAAGTCATCTGAAATGTCCAAACTACCCCTCACTTTCAATTTCTTAGCCTGAGATGATGGAGGGAGAGGGCAGACTGGGGTACGAGAAAAGAGAAAGCAGTTAAGAAGTTTGGTAGTGCATCTTTTTAGAGTAGTGATGGAGAAAAGTTGTTAAGAAAGCAGAGAGGAATATATAGAAGAAGGAATCAGACAGTTTGGAAGAAGACTTTGCAACCACTTTCACAGCACAAATTTGCAAGGAAACCATTATATATCCATCTATCTTTAACAACTTCTGTGTCCATTTGTTAATAATTTTGGGATCCAATAATAAAGCATTGATTAAGCCTTATTTATATATTCAGTATTCATATCACAATGAGGTCTTTGAACAAGGCCAACCTGGATAGTTAATTCTCATTTGAGGGAATAATTAGATCAACCAAACACGCTCTTATTCTTTTCTTTTTTTTCAAAAAAAAAAGGGACCGATAGCATGCATGCATGGATCAATAATATCTCTATGGATCATCCCCCAGGTGTCCAACAATATTGAATCCAGTTGAGAAATTGGTTAGCCAGGGGAAAAAAGTTAATGAAAAATTGGACGATAGGAAAAACCTAGCCCATCATTTGCTTAATTAATCCTTGCTCTTTTAAATATTATGTATTGATCTACACAATATTTTTTTTCAAAAATAAAAATAATTTCACAGAAATTATATAAGAACTCTACAATAAATGGTTGAGCTAAACAGAGGAACTAGTCCGATGCCAAAAGAGGGGAAAAAAAACAAAAACAAAGGAACTAGTAAGGGTATAACGTACAAACCTTATACTTTGAATTTCAAATAAAACCTGTGACCAGAAAAATAAAATAATTAGAGTCAATTATTTCACTACTCATCGATCTTTTTTTTTTTTTTTTTAATATTTTAAAGTGCAAAAAGAATCTTTTCAAACGCATAATTAGACCACCTTGCTTTTACAACAAAATTAATATGAGCTTCTAGTACGGTAAGCCTACTAGGCTATAAGGTATAAACCTTCTACATTGAATTTTAAGATATTTGGATTTTCCCTCTCTTGTGTACTCTCATGAGAACGGTGCTCATAGCATTGACAACTCATCCCATTTAGAATTTTAAATCATCTAGATTTGACCTGAATAATCTAAATGAAATGTTTTTAATTAGTTATCTTTAAATAAATAAAAGCATTTTTAATAAAGCGATAGTAAAAAGATTACTTTCATTTTACATTCTATACTTATTAAAATAATTATTTTAAAAAATTAAAAATTGAAAATATTAAATCTGGAGATCATATCTTGACGGTTCAAAGAGGATAAGCTTTGGAGTCTGGAGATGAGTACCTGACTCGGTTCTGTTTGTGTGTGTAATATATATATATATATATATATATATATATTCAAATGCCCGTGGCGAAATTCAATCACAAGAACACTTAATTAGGTTCAATGAGGTAATTATGTTTTAGGCTGAAGAGAAGAGCAAAACTTGCGAGAAAATTGTATCTGCATTATAAGAAGAGGGGGGGGGGGGGTTTCCACTGCATATCCAGAATCCATGCAGACTGATAGTGATAACTTATAAGATAACAAAAGCAACAACCATACAAAAATCACATGTGAAATTATTAGGGCGATGATGAGATAGAGCCTTGGATTAGAAAGGAGAAAGGAGCTCCCATTCGACCAACTTTCTGATATCAGAACGAGCAGTCTCCGCCTGTGGTTTTGGTGGCCGAGCATCAGAAGAAAGACGATTCTCATAGTAGTGATAAGCGGCAGCACTGGAGAGCACAGCCAGTGTTAATGCCTGAGCATGCATCCTACATCCAAAACCAAACCAACCCAAAATTAATTTCATCAAAGAAATTAGTTAAAAGTTAACAGAGCATAAGAGCCCCACCAAAATGTTACCTGGCATGAATAAGTCTGAGGCTAGGTTTCATAGCAGAGGTTTTGCGAGAGTTAGCCAGGAAGGATGCCCCTATTCCTGCGGCCCATACCGCCCCTGCAGTTCCAATCAACATCCCCATGAGTAAGTTATGTAATTTCCTTCACTGAGACAGAAGGAGAAAGACAGAAGGGTCGTGAATGTAAGATGACATACCAATGGAAGCGAGCTTGTGTTCAGAGACCCAGGAATGAACTGACATTTTGGCTTGTGTGCTGTAAATGTCCGGAAGGTGTTCGAAGAATTGCGAATGAGAGGCGACGAGTGGGAGTTTGGTGAAGTGGCATGCAAGGGGGAGATTGATTATTTATAGAACAGACCGTTGATGCTGGGTATAGCCCCAGGGTTCATTGAGAGTGTGTTACAGAGGGCAGGGGAACACTGAAAGCCCCCAAAACCAGAGGCTTCTCCCTTGGCTGGTTTTCTTTGTGGGTGGCAGGTGCGTTCAGTTCAGCTCAGACCATGTATGTGCTTTATTGTCAAAATCCCTTCTTTCTTTTCACTGACACAGGAGGCATGAGGTTCAGCGAGCCAATGGATTTATACTAGATAGTTGATTCTCACTTACTCTCAATGGCCGTCCTTGACCACGGAATTTTTAATAATATAACTCCTCTCTTCTCAGCCCCTTAATCTACATTCTTTAATTGGAAGATGCAATCTGTGGATTAAAAGAAGTGGTGGGCACAGCAATTTCCTAACATGGGTAAATGATTGATACACTTCAGCACGTGTCTTAGCTTTCATGTAAAGCTGCACATGCATGAATTTCCCAACAAAAAGGTGGGAAGAAATATTAAGAGGAGTAAGGGTTAAAAATATCATAAACTTATATAAAAAAATTTCACCCAAGGCTATAAATTTTTTTTTTTTTGCGCTTAAATTTACTAAGGTAAGTTCAAAAACAGCCCAACAATGATGAAGCCATTAAATTAAGAAAACGTCAGTTACTTTTAATGGTGAAACCCGCTATATTTTTAATGAAAATATTAAAAATACCCGTGATATTCTAATACTTTTATTAAAAAATTATATGGTATTTGGTGAATTTTTAGCATAAGTTTATGAGTATTTTTTAACACTTAACCTATAAACAAAATTAGTTTTTACAATTTATACTCTGTTTGAGATTTAGTTGCTAAATTTTGTTTTGATACGATTTAATCTCATTAATTTTAATTTAGTTGAAACTCAATCTTTTAATTTTAATTCTATAATTCAACTCTGTAATTTTAATTATTTAAAATTTTAGTTCATAAATTTCAAAAAATGTGTAATTTTATTTTTTAATATATATGGATGGATACTTTAAATAGTTAAAAATATAGTAACCATATGGATGGATATTTTCAAGATTCAAAGTTTATTTGCTTTGGAGCTATGTGCGGCCGAAACAGTGTCATGTCAAAGGAGCAACATCCAATTGCGTAAAAAGTTAAATGAACTTTTTTAATGAAGGCAGTCTCAAAAGTTGATTGAGAGGAACTTCACTGTGAATAATGGCCAACAGATTGTGAATTTCCAATAGCGGGGAAGTCAATTCTGTTTCAACAAATATAAACACACACGTAAATGCAACTAACATAAGCTTTTCACTTTTCACCCCCCCCCCAATAAAACAACTTGCATCATAAGCATTACTTGGCATTCTTATATTCGCTTCATCTCTTATATAAGTCTTAATTTAAAAAATTAATATACGCTAACAAAATATTTATAAAAATCTATGTGATCTCTAAAAGTTGGTTTTTTAATTTTATTATTATTATTGTTGTCAGAAAAAGAATGGGATGCGTAATTTAGATTTCATATACACTAAGAAAATATTAAAAGCGCTATGGTTAAACTTGCGAGTTGACTCTCCGAGTTTAACGTTTTTACGTTTTCAGCTAACAAAATCATGTCGATTCACTCTTAAACTTGTGATAATTGTAAACTTGATTAAACTTACGAGTTTATTTACCGAGTTTACTATTTTTACGTTTTTAACTTACAAAATTGTGTTAATTTATTCTTAAACTCATGCTAAATTTTTGAATTTGATTATATTTAGTGACTTTATATATGAATTTTATAAAAATTTCTTTGTTGAATGTGATAAATTATGAACATTGATGAATATAATTTTAATTATTTAAATTTAAAATATATTTAAATGAAATTGTTCTCATTTTTTATATATTAATTATTTGATTATATACTTTTAATACCAGTTTATTAATAAAAGTAAACTCTTATGAATTTATAATCTGAGTTTATATCATTATCACGAGTTTATTTAAACTCGTGAGTTTGACAACTTTGATTAAAAGAAATATGCATTGTATTTAGAGGGGGGAAAACTAAAAATTGGGACCTATATTTAGAGATAGACGGAATACCAGAGTTTGGTTTCTCTTTATTTTATATATATATATATATATATTTTCAATTCACCGTCACTATAATTTTAAATTTTTCAGATCAAATTTTAACTCACGAATTTATTTAAATTTGTATAAGTTATCAAAATTTGAATCCCCAAATATAATTCAAAGATCCTCCACTTCAGAAACATTATTGTCATACCCATGACAAAATCATGATGTAAGAAACCCGCAGATTTTGCACTATCTGTACTTCTCCGGTTCTTGATATAGGACCTAATTATTGAGTTAGTTTTAATCCTAAATATAATACCTATTTATCATATTTATCAATTTTCTTTAAATTACCCTTATAAATACTTTCTCAACCATAATTAAGTAGAAGAGGGAGAGGGGGTATTAAGAAAGATGATTATGGTGTTTTAGGAAAAATGTGTCACTTTTCTTATAATCAACTAACTTACATAACTTTCTTAATCTAATCAAATTAGTTAAATGGGTCTTATATTAAGAGCAAGAGGAGTTTAGTAGAGTATTTAAAGGAGGCTCACTCCGCCAATCTTTTTTATCCTACGGTTGAAATGAGTATATTTTCTTTTAACCATGAACTATATATATATATATATATATATATATATGGACACGACCAATCCACAAACAAATACAAGCAAGAAAGGAGTATTAATTGCCCTGGTGAGGGCATTAAATATTGTTTTAGAAGAAAGGAGTACAAACTTTAGGAGAGACAAAAAAAACGGGGGTTAAAATTTCATGTATTGCTCATAACTAGCTAACTCAGAAGTTTATTAACAGAAAAATATCTAATGAAAGAGGTTCAGCTAGCAGGTGGTATATAGCCAGGATGAGAATCCTGAAACTGGCATGCTGATTTGCTTTCTCTATATACTACGTCTGGTCCTAGTTATAAGAGTCAGTTGATTAATTTGAGGAGATTAAGGAAATAAGTTGAGTTAGTTATTTGTCCTAAATATGTGTTGTCTTTCCCAAAATATCCTTGCTAATCAAGTGTATTAACTAGAACTATCATTATTAGAAGGGCTATTTTGGAAAAAAATGTATAAATATAAGGGACAAAGTGGATTGTAGTCTTACATTTAGGACTAAAATAAAAGTCAAATAGGGTCTTATATTAAGGACCGGAGGTAGTAAAACCTTGCACGTTTCATAAATTCATCCTGATCATCCCTTATCCTTTTTTCATGAAGAGATGAATCTGTTCCAACAGAACCTATGTGTGAGCCCATTTCTGTGAGTTTACTGTCGAAGACTTGCTTCAGAACACAGCAAGCAATTCCTGTATTGCTTCTAAGCATATCCATCTAAGTATCTTCTGCCATTTATTGTTTCTACGCCCTGTCACCCTCTGAAGGCTGCCTCTGTGGCTAGCTCATCATTTGACTATTCTCTATTTTATTTGGCTTCTTCCATGTCTTTTGATTTGTCTCTGTGTTTAACAAGCTGCTACATGTCTTGGTCTGATTCCAGGATTTGGGTTATGTATTTGGCACTATTTATTCTCGTTGCGAAGTTGCAGTAGATGATGTTCTTCTGAGGGATCTGCGACAATTCCTTCTGCCATGTGTTTTCGTACGACGAAATGAGGAGAGAAGGAAAGAAACAGAGGGAAAATGATGCCAAAGTTAACTTATCTCATTCATTGATACATTGGAATAGAGGTGTTCACAGTGCTCGTTGGCCTGGTGTGTCCACCCGAGCTTAGGGGAAAAAAAAATCCTACCCAACCTGAAAAATTGAAACTCGAAAAAAAAAAAACACTTCTGGTTAGGGCTGATCACAGGCAGGGCCGGGGCATGGGCAGATACCTTGCCCTGCCCGGGATATTTATAATTATATATTATGATAATATGTAATATAATATAAGTATATTTATATTTTCAGTTTTTATTTTTTATTTTAATTCTTTCAAATTACTTCCCAACCCTAGCCGCCCCCTTCCCCTTCCCCTTCCCCCCCATTCACGACTTCCGCTTGGTCTCCCTCTCACAGTGTCGGCCTCCCGTCTCCCTGAAAGTCACGGTCTCTCTAATCTCTATCAGTTCGGTCACAACTCACGCCTCAGTTTCGCCTCAGTTTGGTCCCTGAGTTTTGCAACTCTTCCACTTTAGTTTTGCCTATAGAACTCTCTCCCAATCATCCCAGAACTTCAAGTTCCAGTACCACAAGCAGCCTCTCCTTTTTGGCCCCATCTCTGTCCACCTCATCTGGTACAGTAAGTTCTCTCCGTCACCTATTTCATCACCTCCCTCTCCTCCTCCAATCCCTCCACAACCCAACCCTCCGTCGTCATATGGTGGAAAACCATTCAGAAATTCTACAAGCCCTCGGTCTCCCTCAACTCACCATGATCGACTCCTCACTAGGATCTAGTCTTCACTTCGACTAGTGACAGTGAAACAGGAAGGCGCAAGCCAACCAGTCCGTCTCTCCCATCTCAGGTCAGTTTTCATTTCTATTTTAGTTGTGCTATTTTTCCATATTGATTTGCTTGTTGGGTTTGTCTGTTTACAATTTTGAATTCTATTTCACTTGCCTAATTTGGAATTTTGCATACCAATTGCAGAGTTATATTATCAGTCTTGGTCCAATTTGCATACCAATTTTGAATTCCTTTTGTTGTTTTCTGTTTTGCCTAATCCTCATGTGATGAATTTACTCAAATGCAACTCTGAATTTTGCTATAATCGTTTTAGTTTATTGCACTCTAGATTCAATCTGTTTCATCGTGGGTTTAGTTTATTGCACTCTATTTCATCGTTTTTTTATTCACTTGTTCAGTCATTTTCTTATATCAAATGGGTTTCATCGTTTCATCTGTTTCATCGTGGGTTTATTTTTAGTATTTGGAATAACAGAGTCATCTGAAATGAATCAATTATATCAAATGGTATATTGTGAGTTGTACTTTATATCAGTATTATTGTATCATT